TATGGTGTGTTTTGCTTCTCTCTTTCTCCACTCAGTTCATTCTCTTCCATTTTACTTGAGGGTCTTTTGTGACTTGGTGGAGAGGAACAGGAGCTGCCCTGAGGTTTGGCAGGTCACTGGTTTGAACTTGCCCTCCCTCCAGTGAGCTGGCAAGGGAAGAAGGAGGTGCTGAGCGGCTAGGAAGTCAGACCTGAGCAAAGGGGAGAAGGTGAGATCAATGAGGGAAGGGTTCTTCTATGAGAATGGATCAGAGGGAATTGGAGGCCAGATTAGAAAGGGAAAAGGCAAGGGTTGTTTTAAAAGGGGCTGGCCTCTGCAGAGGCTCATTTTCCAGCCTTGGTTTTTGCTGTCAGGATTGGTGTCATCAAAGGTAGTCTTTGCTGCCAAAGATAAGTAGAGGTAAATGTTACAAAAGTGAGTAACATTTCATGTCACACAGAACTTCTTCCAAATATTATGCCCCTAACGGCCTTAAGAAGAAGCCCTTGTTGTTCTTAAATTTTACTGGTGAAGATCTGAGCTTCCTAGGTGGCAGGGTTGGTGTCTCACGTGAGCTGAGGGAAGGAGGCCTTGGGAATCCTGGATTCATTTTGTTGTACAAGCTTGGAAGAGGAAAAACTGATGGTCTTTCCGGCCTGGACCAAGTGGTCCATCCCCTCCACCCTGCCCAGGCTGGCCTCAGCCCCTCTCTCTCTCTGCTCACCCTCTCCTAGGGCACTTGGTGGTGACCTTGACTTCTTCAGCCATGCTCATTCCTGTTCTCATCAGACTGACTCCTCTCTCCTCCCTTGCAGCTCTCCCTCCAAGGCCCCTTAGACCCCAGTTCTGGGTGCCCCTGTGGCTGAGAACTTGCTCTTTGTGCATTCGTATGTGGACCTCCTCCCTGAAGGGTGAGGTCCTAGAGGCAGCTGCTGTGCATTCTCGAACTTCTGTTGCACCTTCCTTCTCCTTGTCAGCCACGACACTACCTTCATAGCCCTCCCCCTTCCTCTCCCTTCTTCCTTGGAGTCCTTGCCTGGGGCCCTGCCCCCACTGGGGCTCTGCACTCACCCTGGGACCCTCCTAAGGCTGGCTGGTCTGGCTGAGTGGCCGAGAGGCAGAGAAGTGCTGACCTGTCACTCTCAGCATGGGGTCACAGGTCTCTTGGGGATTAGGGGTTGTGTCCAGCCCTGCAGGATGGTCCCTCTTCCAATTTAAGGTTATTTCGGGTGAGTAACCTGGGCAAACAAAGCCATTTGGAAATTTGGAGGGATTTTCAAGGTGTATTGTGTGTTTTGAACTCGACATCTTGCTGCCAGGCAAACCAAAGCTGCTAATACTTCAGTTAGGTGGCTGGCAACATCAGCCAGCCAAGCTCCTAGGCTATACATAAGGGCCATCCCCAACCAGAACTTCAAAAGGCTTCTGAGTTTCCTCCAGCCTTCAGAGCCCACCTTTCCTTTGGAAGACCTTGCTGTCTGCCATGAGTCACCAGATAGGCTACAGCCAGCAGCCCTGCATGTCTTCTGGTGGGGCCTACTGCCAGGCCTTCAGCGGCTGCGCAGCCGTGGTGTCGGGTCACAGCTGGATCAGCTCCATCATGTCCTCCTTTGCCTCCAGCTCAGGAAGGGCTGGTGGTGGGTGGGTCTGCTGCCTGTGCCATGATGGGGGGAGGTTTCTACAGCCAAGTCTCCATGGCCTTGGGGGGAAGAAGACGATCCCTATCAGTGTGGCTGGAGGTGGCACCTGGGCTGGTGGGTTCAGGGGAGCTGGTGGGTTTGGGGGGGTCTGGTGGGAGATGATTTGGAGGCAGTGGTTTTGGAGGTGGTGGAAGAGGGATGGGTGAAAGCTTTGGTGGAACAGCCGGTGGCTTTGGTGGAGGAACTGGAGGCTTCAGAGGAGCAGCCAGGGGTTTCTGCAGAGAAGCAGGTGGCTTTGGTGGCTCTAGTGGCTTTGGTGGCTCTGGAAACTTTGGTGATTCTAGCTGCTTTGGTGACCTCAGTGACCTCAATGATCTAGGTGGCTTTCTGGGTGGAATCCAGGAAGTGACTGTCAACCAGAGCCTTCTGCAGCCCCTCCACGTGGAGACTGACCTTAAGTTTGGGCAAGTAAAGGCCCAGATGCGGGAGCACGTTTACCTTCTTCATCAACAGGTGAGCCCATCTCAAGCCAGCTAGACAGTGAGGAAATCTGGCTCAATTATGTTGGTCTTTTTCTCCCCTCTTCTCCTTATGAGTCTGAGAAAGTTGTGGGTTCACCCAATATGTCAAGCCCTCTGTGGTATCTCAGCAGTGGTGGGCCTGCTTACTACAGCAGCAGGTGAGGAAAACACTGCAGCCCTCCCTGGATGGAGGCGCCGTCCCTCTGTGTGCCCCGTCCCACGGCTCCTCAGAGGGGCTGCTGAGGCTGCTGCTCCAGGGACTGCTGGCTGCCATCATTGATGTCTCCTAACCATCGCCTTCTGAAACTCAAACACAGAACTCCCCCTCCATCTCAGAAGACTTACAAGCTGCTCGTCTTTGAAAGAGAGGCCTACTCTGCCGAAGCTGAATTTGTATTTGAGGGATGAGTCGACCTGCCATCAGCTTTGTGATGTGAGATGAGGGTGAAGGGGCACCTCCTCCTAGGTGCTTCTCATAGGAAGATTTTAGTGTGAGGAGCTGCAAATGTTGAAGGCATGTGAGGCTTGTTTGCATGTATACATGCAAGGGCCTGGCTGAATGAATGGGCCTGGGTTCTGGATATTCCATGCAAGGGAAAACATGGCAATGACAGTGGTGACTGTGTGGTGTCTGGGCTTGGTTAGCTGCTGACAGTGTCATCAGTACTCTTGGGGTACGATGTGTGGAGATCTCTTTGTGACCCTGGGGTAATAGGAGACCTCACAGAAAGGGCTTGTAGTGATTCTTTGTGGGGTCCCATTTCCCTATGTGTCCTGGGGGAAGCTGAAGAAGTTAGTCTTACCATTGGAACATCACACCTTTTTAGAGGTGAAGCTCTTGAAAATTAAGTGACCTTCTAGAGGTACCTAGCTGGTTCCCAGCAGACATCTCAGTGTCTGGATAAATTTATTTACAGAGGCTGGGTGCAGTGGTTCACGCCCGTAATCCTAGCACTTTGGGAGTCTGAGGTAGGTGGACTGCTTGAGTCCAGGAGTTTGAGACCAGCCTGGGCAACATAGTGAGACCCCGTCTCTACAAAAACTACAAAAATTAGCCAGGCACTACAGGTGGTGCACACCTGTAGTCTTAGCTACTTGGGGGGCTGTGGAGGGAGAAACACCTGAGCCCAAGAGGCAGAGGTTGCAGTGAGCCAAGATCGTGCCACTGCACTCGACCCTGTCTCAAAAAAAATTGTTTACAGAAAAACAGAAAGTGATGCGGAAAATGCAGCTCCTCCGCAGCAAGTGGGTTTGGCTGCTCAAGGTCTCAGTAGTAACCCTTATCCTTAAAGGGGGCTTCTGAGATTTTGGAATCCCGAGTGTCTAGCATAAGGCCTGACATGTGCTTGGTGCTCTGCAAACGTTTGTTGAATGACCAGTTGATTGATATTTACTCCCCTGCTTATATGGTTAGCCTTGAACTTTTGTGCAGAAATGTCTCATAGCAGATAAAAGTTTGAGACATCTTTAGCTAGTGGTTAAGTTTAAATGCAGGACTCAGGTGCATCTAGGATCTTTCTTGGGCAAAGGTCTGCTTGAGAGACATTTCTCTGTGGTTTTCTCTAATTCCCACCTGAGTGCAGTGCACCCAGGATTGTAAACATCTTCCTGGAGACTGCATCTGCTGTAGAATGCTCACTAAGTACCTATGGAGAGCCCATGGTGCTACTGTACTTGCTGTACACAGAGTTGGCACCAGAAAATTCCCCTGAAAGCTCTTGGCAGCTCAGCCATCTCCCTCCAGTACCATAAATAGTTGAAAAAAATAAAAATTTCTCCAGAAAGCCTTCTAGGATCAATCACAATAGAATCCCACAAGGAAGGGATATCTACTTCACTGTCCAATCATCATCATCATTATTAAGTGGTGCCTGGCACATACAAAGTGCTAGTAAATGTCTGTAGAATGAACTGGGTCTTACCTGAACCCAGAAGGCAATGCATTGGAAAGATGCAGGCCTTGGGCTAAACTGGTAGGACAAGAAGCCCTGAGTCCATGTGATTCATGGGATGTGCTCTGGGGCCATGGGGATGACTGAGAGAAGGCAGACCACAGGTGACATTTTTCTCACAGGTATGAAGATGAGATCAACAAGTACACAGCTGCGGTGAATGACTTTGCGGTCCTGAAGAAGGTGAGGGGCCCCTTCCCAGCTTCCAACCCCAAAGCCCTGCTAACCTGAGTGGTTTGAGGGTGGAGGGGAGGCAGAAGCTTAGTGCTGTTGATCTGAGGACTTCTTGTAGGCCCTGCAAGTGAGGGCCAGAAAGAGGGAGGAGGCCAGACAGGGTTCAGGCCCCAGTGGCTCTCTGCCCACCCCTGCTGAAGGGTGTGAAGGTCCCAGCAGACTTTTGCCAAGTCCTTTCCTGATGGGTATGTAGGGTTTATGGACCTGATTAGGCCTTGAGGTGTGATTACAAAATGGACCAAGGGAAGAAATAATTTCTTTCTTTTTTCTATTAGGAGTGCATTCCCAGGAGTTACTTAAAGAAAGAGACATTGAGTGTGGCAAATTTAAATTGTCCCTCAGATCCCCTTCCTCACATATTCTTCTCCCCTTGTCTCAGGGTAAGGGCCCCAGCCCCAGACTTCATTCTTCCTCTCGCGTTATAGTCTCTTTGTGCCCTTCCCTGGTGTGCGTTCACCAGCCCAGCCTGCAGAGTACTTGGTTTAGCAATGTTAGGGGTGCAGCTGCCTGTGCCTGGATGGGGTCTCCTTTCCTCTGAGTGGGAGCTCCCAGGGGCAGGGCCCTGTGGCCCCTTCTTTCTGCCCCTTTCCATAGTATGCAGGACTAGACAGAGCCACAGGTTGTCTAGTCTTGACAGTGACTGAATTATCTCCCAGGACGTCGATGCTGCCCACATGACCAAAGTGGAGCTGGAGGCCACGGTGGAGAGGATGACAGGTGAGATCAACTTCCTGAAGGCCCTCTACAATGATGGAAGTCTCCCTCATTGCCATTCCTCAGGACTCACCTGCCCTGCCTCCTAGAGGAGGGCATTTAGAAGTCCAGCAGGACTGTGGGTCTGTCTGTCCTGACCAGAGAGACACCGGCCCACCCTTGTGGGTAGTTCTACTCTCTGCCTGGACCATTCAAACCTCTGCCTCCTCACCTTCCTTCCTCTGTTGTAGAAGTGGCCATTGCCTTCCAGAAAAGCCTCTAGTGGTGGTCCCTCAGTCCTGAGCACCCCTCTCCTGAGCTGGTGACTTCCCGTGCTCTGCTGGGCAGCCCGGTGTGGGTCTGCTCAGGAGACGGCACGTTTGCTTGTCCCTGTGGGAGCTGTCCCAGATGCAGTCAGACACCAGCAACATGTCTGTGGTTCTTTCCATGGACAACAACCACTGCCTGGACCTGGGCAACATCATTGCCAAGGTCCGTGCCCAGTACAATGAGATTGCCCAGAGGAGCAAGGCTGAGGCCGAGGCATTGTGCTAGACCAAGACGGGTGACAGCATCACGTAGCTTTGGAGAATCTTGTTCCCCCATCAATCTACCTAGATAGTCCAGCATATCACCCAGGAAATCTTAGTGTACGTGAGTGTGGGGCATGATTTCACTTTGCGTAGGTGCTAGGCCTGAGTGTCATGATGGAAGCATAAGCCCACAGCCCTGGTCATGTTCTTTTCCTCCTCATCCACATCTGCTTCTTGATGCTCTCGATCTCTATCCACAACCTCTGGATCATCCTGTTGAGCAGACCCTGCCTCCAAGCCATTCTTCCCACATCTCCATATGGCAGTTACCTCATCTTCCCACTGGTCTGGTCTTATTAACAGAGAACTTTCTTTCCAGTCAGAAAGCTCTGACTTTTCTCTAACCCAGTGCTTCTCAACAGAGGGTAGGGAAGGTACGATTTTCCCCCATGGGACATTTGGAAATATCTGCAAGCATTTTTGACTGTCATACCTAAAAGTGGGGAGGGGGTACTAACTGGCATCTAGTGGGTAGAGGCCAGGGATGCTGTAAACATCTTATAATGCACAGGATGCCAGCCTCTGCAAAAAGAACTATTGTGCCCAAAATGTCAATAGCACCAAGGCTGACAAATTCTTAACCTAAATCTTTCTTGCTGCATCCCCTTTATTGTTATTTCGTGTTAGAAACTCTTCCATTTCTCCTCCACAAAGGCTATGCATCTACGTGCGCTTCTAGTTTGATCACACCGAGGTGTTGAAGCCAGTATCTGGAACAGCCAAGGGAGGGGGATGGACAAAGTCTAACTCCACAGGCCCAGGGAATTCTGCACATTCCCTCCCATTCCCCAAATCTGAATGAGACAGAGTTGGTCCATATACATCTGACTCTTCCCCTGGATTTTCTGCTGGTTAAGAAAGAAGCTGGCTCCATCATCTGGGATGTTTGCATTCAAGTGCCCACACTGTCACTCCATAGCTGGATGACTTTGGTCATGGAACTCAAGCAATCTGTCTCAGCTTTCCTTTTGTATAAGATGGGGATAATAATGCCTTTCTCATCAAGTTGTTGTGAAGACGAATGAGATAAAACAGAGGGTCTGGTGCACAGTGACTGCTCAACAAACAGTAGCTACTGTTCTGGAAGACAGGACTTCTGATGCAGGGAGGGAGCACTGGGTCTGCATACACCTGTGCTCTGATTTTTCCATTTGTGGTATGAAGGTGTTGAAGCAGGTGATCTATAAGACCCCTTTTCTGAAAATGTGACTTTTCTGGACACAGCTGGGGGAGCTGCAGACCATGGCCAACAGGCATGGGGATGACCTGAGGAACACCAAGAGTGAGATCATGGAGCTCAACAGGATGATCCAGAGGCTGTGGGTGGAGATCGAGAGCATCGAGAAGCAGATGGGGATGAGGAGGACAAGAACGTGACCAGGGCTGTGGGCTTATGCTTCCATTATGACACTCAGGCCTAGCACCTACACAAAGTGAAATCATGCCCCACACTCACGTACACTAAGATTTCCTGGGTGATATGCTGGGCTAGCGCTGAACTAAGATTGTTATGTGGATTTAGTTTCTGCTTCCCTGGGGCTTGAAGGTTGATATGGGATAGAAACTGAATACAGACATCATTAGGTGGTTGGAGAAAGAAGTTGACTGTTGAAGACTGAATTGGGGGAGCAGCCAAGGAAGCCTACATCTAGATGGGCTAAGGCAGAGGGAAAGTTTCTCTGATAATTCATGAAGACTTCCTGGAGGAGGGAAATTTTCAGAAGATGCTCAGTTATTTCCCACAAAAAAGGAGAGAGGCACAGGAAGGGTCTGGCTCCTCCTGAGTTGGTACAGCCCCTTGAAGCCAGGTGTTTCTAATCCCATTCCCTGGTGAGCTAGGACCTAGATCCAAGCCCAGGCTTCTCTGCTGACCAGCTGTCTAGCCTTTAACCCCAGTGCCTGGGGTTTCCTCACTTATCCAACATCAGGTAACACAGGGCAAGCACCAAGCACACAGGATGGGCTGTCAGTGAATGACACTCGAATCTAAACTGGACTCCTGGCTCCCCACACTAAGAACGCCAAGCTGCAGACGACCATCGCTGATGCAGAGCAGTGCCGGGAGGTGGCCCTCAAGGACACTAATGCCAGGCTTCAGGATATCAAGTATGGACTGCAGCAGGCCAAAGAGGACATGGCCTTGCTGCTTTGCACATACCAGGTGCTGATGAATGTCAAGCTGGCCCTGGACGTGGAGATCACCACCTACTGGACCCTCCTGGAGGGCGAGGAGTGCAGGTGAGAGTCCGTCTGGTTCCCAGGAGGCCCGAAGCCTGGGGCTTTCCTGCTTGAGCATGCTGCCAGGTGTGGGAGCTGTGTGTGCTGTCGGAGGTGGCGGTGGCCATTGGCAGGCACAGCCTCTCGTTCAGGGCTGGGAGATGCTGTCACACCAAGAAAGCTGTGCTTCCTATGCCATATGAACACATTAGCGCCTTACCTGGGGTAGTGTCCTATGTTTTAGCTATACAATGTATGTCTGCAAAGATGAAGGGTCATAGACATAAATGTTACTTCTAGGCCATTTCTTTATTACTGCTTTAATTGTAAGTTTTAAAGAGTGGGTTCCAGTACACTGGCACATGGGTATAGGGCTCTGTCCCATGTGGGTTCAAATAGCCTTTGCTAAATGAAGAGTATCCTGAGGAGGTGGAGAGGATGGGTGGGTCCAGAAATGTTCTGTGTCCTCTGGTCTGTATCTCCTTGGGAGATGTCAGTGGAAAGAGTAACACTTTAACCTTACCCAAGAGAAAGAACAATGTGTTTTATGATTTTCTGAGCACCCGTCCAGCTTATTTCTCACTCTCTACATCAATCAGGAGGGAATGGGAGTGGGGTGACCAAGACTGTCCTTGCTGTTGACCTAAGGAAGGCCATTTAGGGAGAGGGAGGAACTGAGCGAACTGTCTGATCTTCCCCACAGGGTGTCTGGGAGGTACCAGAGTTCCGTGAGCCTCGGTGAGTATTGGGTTATTTCTCTTGGAAGGGGCTGGAGGCCTCGGAATGCAGTTTCTCAAGCCATGTGCCAGCGCTGGTGCGGCGCCATCCAGCCTGCAGGCTGGAAGAGCTGTTGGTGGCGGTTGTGGAGAAGCCAACCTCCCCTCCCCTCCCTGAAGCCTGTCCTCCCCACGCCTTGCCGGATCTCCGCGGGGCGTCACCCTGGGGAAGACCTGCGGCCCGAGACTGTGGGAGGGGCTGGCGTGCGGAGCAGACACTGCCAGGCTCCCTGACGCCGACTTTCTTTGCAGAGATGGTCCACAGCAGCAGCGGTGGCGGCTGCGCCCTGGGAGGAGGAGCCGGAGCTGGGGCCTGCGGAGGTAGCGGGGGCTGCAGCGGCTGGGAATTGGACTGGAGCTCCGCGGGGCGCGGGGGCTTCTCTGGTTCCGGGACTTCTGCGCCGCCAGCCCGGGTGGCGGCGGCGGCAGCAGCAGTGCGGCCAGCATCTCACAAAACTCCTCCCAGAGCCGGCGGTCCCGCCACAAGTTCTGAACCCGGCGCCAGAGGCGTCCTCAGACCAGCCTCCTTCGCCCTCGGCAGGCCCCGCTCTGAGCTCCCGCGCACCCCCGCGGGGCCCCTTCCCTCCACTGCTTCTGACCTGTGCCCCGGAGCCCCACATTCCTAGACGGCTGGCATCGCAGCAACCCGAAAGTTGCCGGGATGGATGAGTAGGCAATAAACCCTCCTCTGCCGGACTCGGCGGCTCATGCCTGTAATCCCAGCACTTTGGCAGGCCGAGGCCGGAGGATCACTTGAGCCCAGGAGTTTGAGGCTGCATTGAGCTAGCATGGCACCACTGCACTGCAGCCTGGGCAACTGAGCGAGACCCTGTCTTTAAACAAACAAACAAAATCTGAAAAAACATCCACCCACACAAGGCAGTGCCCAGGTTCTGGGCCATGTCACCGCTTGTGCCCTGAAAGTGCCCCCACCCCAGCCAATGTCCCACTGCCTCATGGGACAATTCCAACGGGCCCATTCCTCTCCCTGTAGGCAGGGCCTCCCTGGTCCCCACTTCCTGTTGGTGCTTTGATTTCCCAAGACTGGCACTTGTTCCATCTTGGTTTCAAGAAAGGAATTCTCTGTTCTGTACAATCTTCAATAAAGTGCGTTGTGTTTCAGACATCATGGTAGAATTTTCATTCTGGATTCCAAGTCATTAAGACTTTCTTTGTGGCCAGTGGGTCATTTACAGTCCGTTTCACACACACAGCTCTGGTCTGAACTGGGAGGGGGACCCTGGGGAGGAAGTACTGAGAGTTCCCAGGCTGGAGGGGCAGGGCCTTTTCACCCAGGAGATACTATGGATGACATACATCCACCATCCTAATTGTTCAGATTTGAATTCACAAAAATTTCATTATATTTGAAAAAAGTTGTAGGTTAGATTTCCTTGTTTTTCTAGTAATTCGAAATACGTCTGAAATTCTCCAGGAATCACAGCTAATTATAATCAAAGGAGTTGCTAGTAGTCAAACATTTTCAAAAGCAATTATAAAAATTCAAATGTTTTATGGCAAAAGTTATATATGCCGAGGATGTATGTTAACATGTTTGATATGATGTGGAGCGGAGCCTTCAAATATTGAGAGTTATGAGAACAAAGAACTTCAAATGGTCTGGTAACAGGTCACCCCCACCCTCATCCCTACCCCTACCGCAGATGAGAGCACAGAATCCAGGCAGATCCAGGAATACTTGGATAGAACAGAGGTTTGGTGCTGGGTATGGGGCATGCGAGTGGGAGAAGTAAAAGGTGAGCAAACATGCAAAGGCGTACATGCACGACAGCCTTCCTCGTAAAATACTAACCAGTGTGGGAGACTGAGGAAGGTTGTCAGAGATAGCGAGAAAGAGATAGTATTCCTTGATAACAGATCACAGAAACTCTTAGCTAAGTACACAAAAAGCTGAGAGAGATAGCCAAAGGCTCACCACACTAGAAAAACAGCACACAACTACAGCTTCAACAGAGAATGTTCCAGTTCTAAGGTGAAACATTTATCTGGGATAGTCTAAATCAGAGAGGAGGAAGCCTGGGAACTGTCCACTGCAGCTTGCACTGGGAGAGGCTATGTCTTCACCTCTCAAAAACAAGCAACTGTCCAAGGATTCTCTTTTCTCCATGCCCTCATTCTTATCCTTTATCTTTTTGATATAGCCATCCTAACAGGTGCCAAGTAATGTCTCATTGTGGTTTTGATTTGCATTTCTCTGATGGTTAGTGATGTTGACCAACTTGTACACTGTGGGTGGGAAGGTAAATTGGTATAGTACGGCCATGATGGAAAACAGTATGGAGGTTCCTCAAAACATTAAAATGGAACTACCATATGACCCAGCAACGCCACATCTGAGTATATATTCAAGAGAAATTAAATCACTATCTTGAAGAGACATCTGCACCTCCATGTTCATTGCAGCTTTATCCACAATAGCCAAGATACGAAATCAACCCAAGTGTCCATTGATGGATAAATGGACAAAGAAAATGTAGACTATATACACAATGGGATATTAGTTAGCCATACAAAGGAATAAATCTTGTCATTTGCGACAACATAGACAAACGGAGGACATGATGCTAAGTGAAATAAGCCAGACTTTGAAAGACAAATATTTTACCTGGGCATGGTGGCACATGCCTGTGATCCCACCTACTTGGGAGGCTGAGGCATGAGAATCACTTGAACCTGGGAGGTGGAGGTTGCAGTGAATATTTCAGCCTGGGTGACAGAGCAAAGCCCTGCCCTGTCTCAAAACAAAACAAAACAAAACAAAACAAAAAACCAAAACTTTAGAATCTCATTATATGTGGAATCTAAGACAGTCAAACTCATAGAAATGGAGTGAAGGGTGATTGCCAGGGGTTGGAAGTAGGGGTGGGGGAAATGGGAAGATGTTGGTTAAAGTGTATGAAATTTCAGTTATGATGAAATTTTCTCTATGGTGAATAAGTTCTCTAAATGAACAAGAAAAAGCGAGCCCACATGTGCCTCTTAAGCAGTGAATGCAGCTTGGAGAGATTGTCCTTTAGCTTAATGACAGAGGAGATAGTTTCGGCTTGTTTCAAACTCATCAATAAATTGCCATGCTCCTTTAAATAGATGATTAAAGAAAAGCTTGTCTGCATCTTTTATATGATTTACAATATATTACGGGGTCAGTTTCCTGCTTATGGCAACATTCTAATTTAAGGGAAGCTGGATGGAAAATGCAGTTTGGTTAATAGAAATTTGCTTTTGTCATAATATAGTAATCGTTAAAGTTGATGATCTCTTGTTATTTGCCTGACATGTGCTGAGCTTTATCTGAATTAACCCATCTAATCTTCACAGCCCTGTGAGGTAGGCAGTGTTATGGCCTCTGCTTCACAAAAGAGGAAATGAAAGCACAGAGAGATGAATGAACTCATCCAGGGTCACATAACTAGAAGGGATGGCACCAGGATTCAAACTCCAGCAGGCCTAACCTGAAAGCCCTCCTAAATTGCCCCATAAAGCAGAAGATAAGATAGTACAGCAAGAAACTCTCAGGCTTTGGAACCCAGCTGCCAGGTATAATCTGGGCCCACTCCTTACCAGGAGTGTGTGACCTTGAACAGGCTGCTTGGCCACCCTCCTGACCCTTCACACAAAAGTCATCAGTAAAATGCAGTTGTGTGGATGGAATCATGTCATCTGTTTAATTCTTGGCACATTGTAAGAGCTCAATAAAGGGTCATTACTGATTATGGCCAACATTTCAGGAACCTGTCTATTCTTTAAACGAAGAGAATAACACACTGCAAATTCCTTATGGTTATAAAGCACTGTAATCTCTCCCACCATAGTCAAGTGAGACATGAACCTGGAATTGATGGCAGGTCTCATATTACCCTCAGGGACTTGGGATGCTGGTCCCACCTCACCACTAACTAGCCCTGTAACCTTGAGACTGGCCCGTCCTCTTTGATCCAACATATAGAAGCATTCTCTGCCCAGACAGCGCCATTCCTCTGCCGGGACCTCACTGTTTCTTTTGGAATTCAATCCAAGTCTAACCTGTAGCCTTATTTTCCTTTGGGGCCACACCTGCCTAGCTGCTCCCTTTGCTTCAGAGACAAGAGAGTTGCCAGGCTGAGGCACAAAAATTGCTTGAACCCGCGAGGTGGAGGTTGCAGTGAGCATTTCAGCCTGGGCGAATTATAAACAAATAAATGGTTGTATAAATAAATAAATAAATGGTTGTATAAATAATCATGACTTCCAGCATGTTGGATGGAAGAGCTTTGGCATGCTTGGCACAATATTGTCTCTGGACCTTTGCCATGGGAATTTGTAAGCTGCCCTTGGTGAGGCCTCTAGACAATATCCAGGCCCAAGAGCACCTACTGAGTTTACCGAGAAGGAAGGAGACTGCCCGATTCTTATGTTCTAGGCAGACTCTGAGATTCTAGTTAAACGGATGTCAAAGTGGCATCCAGGCTAGTTTTGGGCCTCAGGAGGAGCTTAAGGCCCTAGTTGTTGCCCCAAACACACACCCTAACCCAGGAATCAGAGGATTCACCAGGGATGTTCCTGTGTGCCTGGCACCACATTCCCACCCCTGCATTCAGGCTTGTTAGAGATTGAAGGTGCAACACCCCATACATTCATCTCTCCCAGGCTGCAGGAGAACAGAGGCACCTGGGTATTTCCCACAGGACTCCTTATTCTTTCTGAATTCAGAGGGAGGGGAAGGTAGCCAAGCTCTAGTTCTATCTGCACCACCAACTTTTTTGGGTAACTTTGGCCATGTCCCTGTCTTTGTACCCATTTCTTCCTTGTAAAATGGAGAACTGGGCTGATACTGTCCATCATATGTTTGGCTGTGATGCTCCTATGCAGGAAGAAGAGTGGGCCAAGGGTGGGCAAGCAAAGGCTAGGAGATTCTATTCAGTCACAAGAGGTTTCTCTCCCTGATATGTGTCACATCACTGCCTCCACTGTGCTGACGACAGATCAAAAGGCTCTCATTTCAAGGAGATTAAAGGCCACCATTCCTAGACCAGGGTTGCAGCTCTCCACTCTCTCCTTGGTGGGGACTGGTGAGTGAGAGTCTCCCTCCCTTCCTTATTCCAGCCCCACGCCCCTGACGCACCTCTGTGATATCCACTTCCAGACTCTGGGACATGTAGGGTGAGGTGGGCGATAGAACTTTGGTAGCTGCTCCTGCTGGTCACACCAGCAGCTCTTCTGAACCCTGCTTCCAGCTGCTGTCTGGAACTGTGATCCAGGTGGCTGATAGTTTGCTCTGGGCCTCATCCTCTTGGCAGCCCTGAGTTTCAGTAACTGGGAGATGGGCTGGGGGAGCTGGAGCCTTCAACTAATTCCCCATTTTCTTTTAAGGTGGCAGGTGGGGAGAGGAGGAAGCGGGCACATCTTTCTCCAAGGGCCCCATCTCTTCTGCAATACATGTAAGTTCCGAAGTGGGAATGCCTGGGTTCAAATCTCCATTCCACTATTTTCATTAGTGTATTCTTGGACAAGATTCTTGTTCCAAGTCTCGCTTTGTCCATTTGCAAAATGAACATAGTAAGAATATCTTCCTTATGATGTTGGTATTTAGATTTCATGAGACCTTCCATGTTATAGACTCAGCACA